CTTCCTGGGCTTCAAAACCCTCTCTGCTGCCCTCTGTCTCCTGTCCACGGTGCCCTCTGCCTCCTGTCCTCACTGCAGAGGGCAGCGGGGGCGGCTTTGAATTTCCTTTCCTTTCCCTCTGCCTTTCGTAGGTCGAAGCTCTGGCCGCAAGTTGAACCAAAATTTTCGTACCTCGAAATTTTCATTTCCTTTGTAAGTCAAGGATCCACTGTGCTTTAATTCTCTTTGTGCACACACAAATATAACCTGTGAGCTCACTGGGATGGGGGGGAGGCAAGTTATGGAGTCTACTACAGCTTGTTCACCCCAGGCCCCATGGCTTTGACATAGCCTGGATGTTGGTGCCTTCCTTAGGGAATTTGTCAAGACTGTTGAATGGGAAAGTAAGTAGAAATATTGCATCCTCTAAGTCCTAGAGTCTCTTAATATTGTAGGCTGCCCTTTAATTCCACCTGACCTGACCTGGCTAAAAATACTTCCTGGTCTTATCTGAAGAGTTTGTTGATCTAGCTCGATACAGTTCAGCCTGTCCCCATCCTTACAGCCTGATTGTCTTCCTGCCTAACTTGTCATCTCCCACTGTTTGCTTCTAGGCATCATCCATTGCCTGCCCTTATGTCTGCTCCCTGCCTACTCCTTTTGACCAATCTCCTCTCGTACAACAGACAAATGTCTCAGGTCAGTCTCAGGCTAGCACGGCCTGTACAGTGGACCCTCAACTTACAGACAGCTCAACTTACAGACTTTTCGAGTTACAGACTTCTCTGGCCGCAAAATTTAGGTTCGATTGCAGCCAGAGAATCAACCTACAGACCAGAAAAAACCCAAAATGGAACAAAAATGGAACAAAAATGGTTGGTTACGGATTAATCGGTTTTCAATGCATTGTAGGTCAATGGTTAATGGAGACGCGACCTACAGCCTTTTCGACTTGCAGCCACCATTCCAATATGGATTAATTCCGTAAGTAGAGGGTCCACTGTACGTTCATCTCAGTTTGATTTGGGTCAGGGCTCAGTGTGCCTCCATCAGCCAAACTTTGTCCCCTGCCCCTATTCTCTACTTGGGGAGTATGCAAATAGGGAGCTAGCATTGTGACAGCTTAAAACTGCTGTCATTACTGAACAACCCAATCCCCCCTGCAGTGGCCCTTCAAATAATTATTCTCCTCAAATTGCAGAATTGTTTTTATATTTGAAAGTATAAAATTTATGTTTTAAATGAGGGTTTGACACTGTGAGCTCCCAGGAAAAAGCTGTTGCACATGCTCCCTATCAAGAAGTATGCCTGCTACCTGGATTGCAGTCCTAATCTTTTAAACACTGTGTATGCAACATTTAGGTTTTGATGGCTGCAAATACAGATCTGCCTCTCAGGGTTACTGGTAAAACAGCATAGATTTCTATGGGATTTGTTTTTGAGCAAGCTTGCTGCATCTGAACAGCTTTCATCTTCTTGCAAAACCACTTACAGTACATACAATCCACTTTCTTTTTCTATTTCAGTGTTTTTGGATTAACCTCATGTTTATTTTCTCTCTCTCCAAGCTATTCAGATATTCTATTACATCTCAGCATCATCCAATAGCCAAAACGTATTGTTGCTTGACAACTGTGTACACTAGATGGTTGAAAGTTAGAAGCAGTTTACTGATGCAGGAGAATTTGCTGGTAGAAATTTGCAGATGCAGATCACATCTATTCCAATCTTCACAATATATTCCACTTCTCTCCCTCCTTGCCTACTTTTTAAAGATTTGTCCAGAAGTTAAAACCAAACCACATGGGAAGCATTCATTCTCACCTACAGAGCAAAGTGAATCAACCACATCATGGATTCTAGTATTTAATTCCATTTACCATATGTAAAATGTATCTTATATTAATATGGTGCCCCATGCCCATAAGAACAGAAAAGCAAAGCAAGTGTTATTCTATGAAAACTACAATGGATTAGGACTTTTTGAGCCCCAAGATCCACTTTAAATCCTAGACTTAAAAATTTCACAGCATCTAATATCTATATTATATATTCCATATAATATAGAATTCTGTAGCATATGTTCTATTGTATAGTCTATATTCACTAGACCTTTTCTTTCACACCTAGAAGAGCAGGAACTCATTAAAAGTTACTATGGGTTGCAAAATGGAAATGATCTCTTTCCATGTGAAAATGTCTGCTCAAAGTGGTTTCTGCCAAAGAAGGAACCTAAGCATGGGTTGAACAAACATGAAATTTTTCAAAAGGGGGAAAACAGTACTTGATATAAAACAAAAGAGATTTAATTTTTATTTAATTTATTATGGCAACAGTCTGTGGGACAGGTGATATTACAATTACAGCTTTACATGTGTGATATTTGAATAAAGTTACTGGCAGTTGTCCAAGGGGTGTCGCATTTGTCACTGTGGGATGATGCATTATACCAACCAAGGGGTCTCCAATGCCTCCTAAGAACATATGCATCTATTTATTGTGTGTGTTATGTGCCATCAAGTCAGAATTAGCTTAAGAGAGATCTTAATAGGGCTTTCAAGGCAACTGTGATGTTCAAGGAGTGGTTTTACCAGTGCCACACCCCCCAGTGAATTTCCATGGCCAAATGGAGATCTACTCAATATATCATACTGGGTACTCCATCTATTCATTACAATACTATATTGCCTTTCTGCTAAGTAATAACACTCGAAGTGGCTTACAAACACAATTAAGTTTAAAACAATCTGAAAAAGGAAACTATTAATATATCAGTTCAATAATTAACTCATTATAATCAATGCATTTTAGATTAGATTAGGTATCCTTCAGTCTCAAGAGACTATGGTAATGTCCTCTGAATAGAGGACTTGGAACAGCATCTAGTGTGGCTGAGAAGGCCAATTCGAGAGTGGCAATCCATTCCACACTGAAGACAAATCCAATCTGTCCCCTGTCCAGCTCCCTGATTTTGCTGGGTTCAGGACTGCCTCTTTGCCTCGGCTTGCTGGACAAGGGTCTCTTCGAATTGGGAGATGCTATGATGCACTGCCTGCCTCCAGGCTGAACGCTCAGATGTCAGGGTTTCCCATCTGTTGAGGTCCATTCGTAAGGCCTTCAGGTCCTGCTTGCAGATATCCTTGTATCACAGCTATGGTCTCCCTCTGGGTCGCTTTCCCTGCATTAATTCTCCATACAGGTGATCTTTTGGAATCAATGCAATGCTCAACAAATATCCAGTTTAAAGGTCCAGTTTGAAGAGATGTATCTTAATGTACTTCCTAAAATAGCTCAGTTTCCTTTTAAGTGAATTTTAAAACCCTTTAAATGTTTAGGTAATAATTTTAATTACTACTGCATGTTTAATTGTTTTTCAAACTTGAAACGTATGGTGTTTTCAGTCCAATGTGTTTTAAGTATTTGTGAGCACCTGGGGACCCTCCGCTGGGAGAAAGGTGGCATAGAAACCAACAAATAATAAATAAATACATTGTATTGAGAGTAGTGCCAGTCTCAGGGAAGTATTTTTTGCCCCCTGGGAGCAACTCAAGAGAAAGCCCTCTTGCTTCTTCTCAAGCCAGTCTCCCAAGAAGGTGGTATTCTTAAAACCGCCTTTCCTGAAGATCTTAGCATCTAGTTCATAATGAGACAGGCAGTTTCATAGCTAAACAAATCCAGAGCTATTTATGCCTTTAAATCTCAAAACCAACACTGCAAAATGGGTGTGGAAATAAACTTTGCAAGCAGCTTGGGGTCTCTCAATACTGGTGTCATATTGGCACAATAGACATGACCCCTAGCTCTTTCGGATTGCATCAACCAAAGCTCCTAGACATTCTTCAAGGGTATCTCTGTATAGAGCGTATTGCAGTAGCCTAGATACGAGCTAGGTAAAATATAGATGACTGTACTCCAGGCAGGGCTACTCAGGGAAGGATGTAGCTGGCACATGAAATGGAGCTGTGTGAAAGCACTCTTCACTTTCACCACCACTTGAATGTAGGGACAATGTAGAATCAAGGACTGCAATTTACCATAAAAGGCCGATGTGATGCTTGCAGCTTTATTCAGGCTGCAGGTGTGCAATTAATTACCTTTTGGT